AAACAAGGCCTAAAGGTTTCACCCAAAAGTCACAGATGGAATTTGATCAGCCATGACTTCACCTTTTCCATTGAATTCTCAAAAGGCGCCCTGCCGAGAGGCTCATTTCGTGTTTGCGTTGCATATTTTTAATTGAACAGGCTGCATATTTGTAGCAACATCAGCTGCTGCTTTTAAACATCAGACTGGAGACCTTTACCAAGGGGGAACAGTGATATTACTTCATGTGACCTAAATACAACAGGAATAAAATGCTTTATTCTAGTTGACCCCCAGCAGATCGTGACGGTCTTGACCTGTGCTAAGTACACATCAGCTGTAGGAAAAAGCAAAAGGGAGTCTAGTAGGATGCACAGTTTCCACTGCAAAGCATCACATTTCCACCAGATACACAGCCTTGTAAGTACTTACCGGCTTTGGCAGCAGTGGTAGACAGGACCCGACATGGAAACGTAAGGTTTGTCAGCTGCAACTAGTCTCGCAGCGTCACAAGTGAGAGTGCTGAGATGTTGGAGGATTAAGCAACCATGTCACCATGCCAAAACAAGTCTGCCCTACAGTTTAAGTGGCATACAGATGTGTCCCCCTTGCAAAGATGCCTAAGTCAGTGGTTCTCAACCTTTTTAGGCTCAGACTCCAGGCCACCTTCCAGGGTTTCTGTGAATTGCATGGCACCCTATTTCAAAAGCAAATGCATTTATTACAGTGCTTTCTCCCTTGGAGATGTGGCGAGCACTAGGGGCAGAGGGAGCAGGCAGGCAGGGCCAGCTTGAACCTACACGTACCTGCTTCTTTCAGAGGTCCTAGCAGAACCCCGAGGTGCCCCATCGCCCCAGGCGAGAATCACAGATTTAAGTATCTGAACTATCAAACCCGCATTTGGAGAAGGGAAGGAACTAGCACAGTCCTCTGGACCAGGAGCTACTCCATTAAGTCCGTTTGGAACGTCCCCTAACTTATGGCTTTGGAATAACGAGCAGAAAACGGCAAACTGAAGTTTCAACACTAAACCGGCTTAGCACAAAGGTCAAGGTCAGCTGTCAGTCACTTGAAGCACAAGGGCAAATGGACAACAGAGGTCTCTTTCTACGCCCCCCGCCCCAGTCTTGTACCTGAAGGAGGCAATTAAGGCAGCAGCCTCAGGCACCAACCTAATGGGAAAATGTGCTGCAGGGGGCACAAACAGTCACCACAGCAGATGATGGCTGGCCACGATGCTGCCCCAAGTAGTTATGCCTCTGCCCCACATGCTAGATTTAACAATGGGAAAGTAAAGGCCAGCTCTGTCCTCAGAAGAGAGGTACTCTTGTACATATGCTCGCGCCCGGCGCTGCGGCGCATACATTTGTATAAATGGTGAAATGTGCATCAGCACTGAGAAAATGGTGGCAGCGCGCTTTTGAACTAAAACGCATCGAAGGTGTTTTAGGTCAAAAGCGCACCACCATTTTCTCAGTGCTAACGTGCACTTCGCCATTTATACAATCGTATGTGATGCAGCGCCAGATGCGTCAGCTCGCACGCGGAGAGGACTCGATTTGAGTCTACTCCGACACGCCGGATCAGAGCAGACAAATGTATGCGCATAAATGCCCTCAGGCTCGACTGAATTATAACCACTTGCAACAAAGACTTCAGCAGAGCTGATTATCTTGAACAGACCCAATTCTCAGGTACCATATAACCAGCGTGACCAACTCAATCTAAAGCACGAGAATCCATGTTGTCCAACGTTTCTGAAGTGCTTAGAAAAGACTGCCCAAACCTGACTTGCTCATCCCAATGCCTCAGCTACTCCGATTCCAAGTACACCGACCTTGGCTCTGGAAGAGCCTGGGCGAGGGATGCCAAAAAATGCCTAACAAGAGCAACGCAAGTTTTGCTCGATGCACATAGATTGCTCCAAAGTGCACATTATCGATACAAGATTTGAGTTCAGAAAGGTACGAGGGAAACCTCATATGAACGTTTTTGTGCTTTTTCACTGAGTTGATGTTTTGCTAGGCACTTGGACCAATTCTCCAACAAAGCACGCCAACACCCGTATAGACTGATAGCTTTCAGTGTGGAACGTTTGCACTTGATTTTCACAGATGAGACAGCTTTACTCCACAACCAAGTAACAGCCTCTTTACCCAACCACTTCTGTTAATGAATGCCAGAGTGAAAACCCTTAAATAGTACAAGCCCACTGTTTTGGCTGGTCTGTTTTTTAGGGGAGAATTAACTGGCTCTCTCCTATTCTTGTAAAGGAGAAAGTATCTTTGTTTCTTATTTTAATTGCATGTCACGCTATAGATAGGCCAAGCATGCATGGAAGCAGTTTGTTTTTCAGTCTTTTTGAATATTTGTTCATACTGTTAAATGCAACTTCAAAGGAGGAAAAAAGTTACCTGAACCCCTTCAGAGCTGCAAGGTGATGTGAAGAGCCAGACTTGAGCATGCTGCTCCATGTAGATCAGCTGGTGGTAAGTAGCCAATATACATTAAGGTCCTGGTCTCCACATGAGTGGAAGAATGGCAAGATTCACCCCATGACAGGTAACAAGAGGCCTTTCACTTGGCAGAGTGAATGCAGAGACCAACAAGGAGACAAAAGATGCTGTTAGCCCTGTAGTGATAGTGTCTAGGCTTTAACATTAAATTAGGCAATACAGTGCACTGGTTCCTGATTCAACGTAGCTGACCACAAGGGCTGCTTATACACATGCATCAAGGCTGCTCCAATGCACTGTAATTACAGCGTGTCAAAGCAGACCTAATTAATCAAGTCTGCTGAAACTGAGACTCCAGCATCATGTGCATCAGCTTCCCTTCACTGAAGGGTGGAGGGGGTGTTTTAATGAAAGCTTGTTTGATGTGCATTAGTTAAAGTGCCCCTGCTGCCATTTTTCAGTGTGGGGATGCTGATACACGTGACGCTCCGGGTGCTTTAATTAGAGATCGGAGCTGCTCTAATTAAATCGCCCCCCACACCTCTTGGAGCACGCGTATAAACACCCAAAAAGTGCCGGTGTTGTCAATGGGTAGTTTGGTTTTTCCTCATCTCTAACTTGGTTATATTCTCTCTAGCTTGAAGGTAACAAGTGATGGAAAACAAACCACCTCAATTTTACATCACTGAGGTGAGGATTTTACTTCCTCCATAAGACTGGAGTGTAACTTTAGAGGTCATGAGTGGAGTGGATGAGCTCAACATGTTTTCTTCCTCCAAATTATCACAGCTTATAATATCCTGCAAAGAGTGCATGTACACACAGTGCCTAGCTTAGGAAAAGGGGTCTTCAATTTAGCACAATGCCTTTCTTCCCCGACTTTAAACAAGGATACCAAAAGGGGCAGGAGGCTTTAATAGCGTAGCTGAAGGTAACTGGACAGGGATATAACAAAGCAGTTTTAATGCAGGCCCCACACACACAGCCTAATGCGGTGGTTTTCAATGTTGTGGTTCTACAGTAGGTCATCAGGGATTCTGCAATGAGATTGGGGGTGAAAGAGAGCAGGCTGGGACGTGGTGCCCCGTCACTGCCAGGTAGGGTCACCGTTAGTCTTTAGCTTGGGGATAGGGGTTCTGTGGCAGAAGTGATACAAAAGGGTTCTGCAACTTTAGGAAGTGTGAAAACCCCCGGCCTAATGACTTACACTGCTACAGCAGTCGCATTCATATTTATAACAACCTTTAAATACCAGGTGCCAGGATCCTGCAGAAGTCGACCGTTTCCGAATGCAAAACCTGAGACTGAGCATCCTTTAAAAGTGCTGTAAAAGATTCCTATTTGTACAAGCATTTAGCATACTGAGGTAGGCTGGTATACTGTTGAGGAGGTTTTTGTTTTATTTTGCTACTTTTTATTATACATTATTTCGTTCTTTTATTTTAAACTGCTCTGAGCCCGTGTGGTGAAGGGCAGCATATAAAATTGAACAAATAAGAAAATATATTTATTCTAAACGACAATCACGTAGAAGATCTTGGTTGCGATAGCGACACACATTTTACAGATCTTCAAAAAGGAGAGTGGACGCACAGCTTGCTGGGGTTGTTTGACCCCAGCAGTCTTTCCTGCCCAGAGCAGGGAGGGCTGGACTGGATGGTCGGACGAGGTCCCTTTCAGCCTTAAAACTTCTGTGACTCTGTGTAGTCACCTTCTCCTTGGTTTCTCTGCTCAGGGTTGCTGTTCCCCATCCTGGTGCAGTTTGTACTTTGATGCATGACAGAAGGATAAAGCAGTAACTGAAGGACAGGAACGCAACAGTTTTGAAAATACGTTTAATGTCTAATCTTATACAAAAGTGACAGCATTTTCAAAAAATATCAAATCCTGTATTTATAGCTTCTCACTATCATACAGCAATATTTGTCTCATCTAAAGAAAATACAGCAGCAGGTGATAATCTATACTTTAAAGATGTGATTGCTTATAGTTCATATTGTAAACAAATGCAGTATGTCGATCTCAAAGCACAAGTCAAAAACAAACTTCTCAGCAATTTAACTCAAATGATGCATAGAAATGTACAAAGTCCATCGCAAAAGCTTCAGGCCAGAAGTTGCTCACACTTGACATAACATGTGATAAAGTTACTACACAGCATATAGGGACAACTGGAGTTTTTATACAATAGATTAACAGGTAAACCCTTTCACTGCTATGCAAGGAGCCTTGCTCACAAAACAAAGGGGCTGGGAAACAGTTTTCATGATTTCAAGAAATACACATACACATTGAAGAAAAAAAAAAAAGTGTGTCCCATATGTATCTGAATTTTAGCCTAGACTTTCCAGTAATAAATCCTGCCTATTTCAGGAAGAACCTAAAGAATCTACTTTGGGAAATCTCCTTTCCCCAATATTCACTAGAGCCTTTTCTACATCTTTTCATTCCCTGATCAAGAGATCCAGAGCAGTGCAAGTTCAAACAGGAGTGTCACTAGTAGAATTCATTCATTTAAATAAAAAGTTTTCATTAGATTTAAAAAAAACTAAGGCTACAGGCATCAAATGCACAATTTATAGTCAGATATAGAATTAATTAGTAGTGGGGAAATCTAGGCAAATACACTCGAATTGAATTTTTTCTTATTCCAATTCTAATAGGGATAGCGTCCCACACTAAATTTATGAGAAAAAAATCTTACAGAAAAATAAAGTTTCTGGTTCTTATTTCTAGGACTCAAAAATGCTATGATTTATGTTGAAGTGTTAGGGACAATCCTTTGCTTTATTGTGTTCAGTGCCACTATCTTCTTCCTAATATAGACAGATCTATCCTGGCTATCAGACCTCATGACAATATGCTAGAACGACCGCAGCTCCGCAGCAGACTGCTCTGCCCTGCAAAAGATGCCAGGGCTTTTGCAATTGCCATGGAGGTTAAGCCAGCCTAACAAGTCTCACTACCAGGCAACCCAGTTTATTTTTTTTTTAAGTTTATTACGTGCATGCAGGAGGCCATGGCAAGGAAGGGGAAAAGAAAATTATCTTGTTTTCACAGATCCACAATACAAAGGGAATTCCTAACGAGCCATCATCAGTATCACTAATTCCCTTATGTTTTTAATTCCACCTACCAAGGTAGAGTTAGGATTTCCCCAGCTGGGATAACATGGTTTTTTCCATGGTAACAAAGCCTAGCTCATCAAGTACCATCATGAATTTAAGAACGCCCAAGTCTCAGTGTGATGCAAAACTACTGTTGCAATAGTCCCCTAAAAATAGCTAAAAAGGTTTGTTCTGTCCAAGAGAACTGGCAGGAGGATGAAACAGACTGCAGCGTCCATTCAGGAGAAAGGCAGCTCTGCAGCAGAGCGCAGACATCTAGTCGTTCAGCTCGCCCCAAACTGTATCAGGTCATTCAGTGAGGTACAATATACACATCGGTCAGAACAAAGGACTACCCCAAAACCACATTTACTGAAGCTCCGACAAGACTGGCTCATTTCCAAATAGGGCAGAAGCGAGATGCAACCCAAGATCTGGTGCATCTAGTAGGACTACGTGCAATGCAAGAAGCAATTTTTTTGCCATTTTGTCATTTGTACTCTTAATCTCAGGCCTCGTTTCCAGGGATTATGAATAAAATGTGCAGAGTTTATACAACTCAGCAGCCAAGTCAATCTCAAATAATTACGACCCAGGTTACAAGACAGGGAAGTAAGTACTGACACTCCAGTGGGAATTAGTTATCCTTATGCAGACAAAGCCAAACTTCTAGCCACCACTTCGTAATTGGGAGTGGCAAAATCATACCTTTGTTTGCATGCACAAACCTCACATTTGTTCATTCCAAGTTAATTAACTGCACATCCAAGTACTTGATTTGCACAGAAATGCCTGTTGGTGAGTATGAACAGGTGTGCGCACAAGTCAGACCAAGTATTTCAATATAGAGCTTCTCTGCTGTAGTCTCAGACAGAGAATGAGTATATACAAAATGCTGAGAACACCTTCAAATTCACATGCCCTGTCCCTCCTTAGTTTGCTGAGTTACTGTAGCATGTTTAAATTAGACCTCTTGGGGAAAAAAAAAATAAAAATCTCGAAGTACATTGCTTTTATTGACATTTTGGATGAACCTGAAAATTCCAACATAACATATGACGATCCATTCATTTAACGGCCAGCACAAATCTGGCATCAACACTTAAAGCAGTCATTGAAATTTAAGATTAAACATTTTAGTTAATCTTTGGGCCTGATTTTATAATCCTTACTTGGCAACTCCCGCTTCCCCCTCACCCCCACCCTCCCAAGAACATCTGTCCAAGAACCACAGGATCGATTTTTCTGCTTGGTCATCTTAAGTCATTTGAACAAAACAAAACATGATGCCAGCAAGTTAAATTTATGCAGGGTGCTCCTTCATACCTCAACATTCACGTACAAGAGGCGAGTGCTCTTCACGACCCCAAACGTTACCGAAACAAAAGTTGTAAAAATCTCTGTAAATATCAGATGAAGGTGGAAAGCTACAGTACTTTGTTGCCCAGCATGTGTTCAACGGTAAGGCTGTGAAGAAAAAAAAAAAACCCAATAAAAATATAAGGTCAATGTACAGCATCTAGACAGTAACCCATTCTTAAGTACAGTTGAAAGTAGTCTCTCTCAAGATAAGCACACAAGTCAATCGCTACTACCGTGTTTTAAGCACAGGTCTATCAGGCCTGTCAAACTTCTTAGTGGCCAGGGGCTGCATGCTCCACAGGCTGCACCAGTGAGGTTCCTGGGCCCCATGGGCTGCATGGAAACCCCCCTTCAGTGCACTGAGCACCCACGCCTACCCCCACATCAACTACAACCACCTCATGTGAATGCCCCCTCCTCATGCAAGCACAAAATACAGAAACCAGAGGAGGAAGGGGGAGCCTGGAGACTCCATCTGCAACACATAAGGGGGGTTACAGCAGGGTAGGGACAGGGGGGGCTACAACTTAACCCCTGGTGGGATGCCAGGTGAACAGCCCTGGTCTATATTTGTCTATTTGTATAGAGATTACAAGGCAAACGATTTATGTAATCTGAAGAGAAACCAGAGTTGAATTCTTCCCATTTTTAATTTGTGCTCAGAGAGAGCCAACCAAAGCTACTGCTAAACCGCAGGTGGTATTTTTAGGACCATAAAATGCAAACCTAGAGATCACTGTTATACTAACACAATAACAGTATTTAAAGTCCAATCTAGTCCCTCTAGCTGACCTCCTGAGGTCCATTCCAACCCTAATTTTCTACAATAATTGCTTAAGCCAAACGTTTTGGCACAATTTGCTCTCCTCAGCAAGGAGTTTCCCATTAAATGGCTGGCTGTTCTAAAAGGCCATGCTTTTTGCTAATGGGTCTTATACTACCCAGCCCTACTATTTTTACCAGAAGAAATTTTGGCAATGTCTGACATGGTAATATTAAAATACTCACATGGGGGCCACCAGGCATTGATGGAGCACCAGCAGGAGCAGACGGCACTTGAAAAGGATTAGGGGGTGTCGGGTACAGTCCTGGAGCCGGATAAGATCCTGTGGGTGGAGGGAACGGGCCTGGTGGTGAAGGTCCCCATGGTCCAGGTGGGACAGTACCCCATGGCACTGTGGGTGCAGCCCCTGGTGTCTGGGTGGGAGTGGAATATGGCCCTGGGGGTGGGTATGGCATGCTAGGTGCAGGATACTGCCCTCCCATTGTTGGTCCCCACGCTGCAGAGGGCATGGATCCCCACGGCCCAACAGGAGCAGGAGGTGCAGCTGGCTCTGTTGGACCACCATATGGTCTTGGAAGCTCTGGAAAGGGCATATTTGGTGGAGGATACTGCCCTGGTGGGACAGGACCTGGAACAGCTGGGGGTGGATATGGACCAGTAGGAGGAGGGCAAGAGGGTCCAGTAGGAGGAGGAGGAAATGGAGCAGGTGGTCCAGGGGGCATTGAAGGATACATTCCTGTTGGTGGTGGGCCAAACGGCACATTGGAGGCGGACGTATTTGGTGGCAATCCAGATGGCACTGCTGGTGGAGCACTCGGGTTGTTCCAAGGATTAGAAGCTGGCCAACCTTGCGGTGGCTGCCCAGGTTGCTGACTGGGTTTCGTGTTGCTCACTTTGGAGGCTTTAGCAGGTGACTGATCTGGTAAAGCATCTGCCAACTGAAAAATAAAGCAGTGATGAGAATGCACGCTGCCCACGATGGCAATCATCTGCTGTGCCTGACAGTCTATTCCTTTTTGTGTATTGTATTACTGGGGAGGGAGAACTGGCTGCATCTGCTGCTGCTAAGGCAAGACAAATGGCACTTTCTTTTTATCCTTTAAGATGAAAAGAAGAGATATATGGATATGCAGTCATTATAAAAACCCAAGGGCAAGGAGGTGAGCTACTGCATGAAGCAGAGAGTAATTTCTCAAAAACAGATTTAAAAAGCCTTTAAAAGTTTCCTACCTACCCACACTAAAAGCAACAAATAGAATTTACAATTCAAAAGCGGTATCAGACCTGAAAGTTTGCAGAAGTCAGACAGCCCACACTGGACACCCAGAGCGGCAGAGTACGATGCCCACTTCAAAGCTAACATAACACCTGCAGCAGCAAAGAAAAAGGCTCCCAGGGCTGACCTCCCCACTTCTTGAACCATTACATCTGGAATTCAGAATCAAGTGGCTGGACCACATGATCTCAGAGAAAGGAAAGTGGTTGGATTACTTACCGAAAAGTCGTCAGCTCCAGACATTTTACTGAAAAGTAAAAGCAAAGTTGATTAAAACTAATTCCGCAAGTGTTTCAGGCAACAGCTTGTAAGGAAGCTGGCTATCTGCCTAGAAACAGAAACTGCTGCACACACTTCAAGTGGTAGTACTGCTCAACACAGTTTTGCTTTGATGATTTAGACTCGAACAGATACCCATCTGTTACCAGTACAGCCTCAAGCAGCTCTGCCGTGGGTGAAGAGACAGAGCTTCAGTACAGCCCTCACCTATATTAGGATTATAACCACATAAAGGGACCCAGATCGGTAAACAGGGTGAATTTGCCCATCCTGGATCCTATAACCAGAGCTTGTAATAGCCATTTATTAACTGCAAGTTGGACATTTGTCTAGACAAGCAATCTCAGCTTCTACAAAATCTAAGGGCCTGTCTACAGGGAGGCACTTAACTGCAGTTGATTTGCCTCAACTTCCCAGTCACCCTACTCAAGTTAAAGCTTGTTAAACATACGAGTACATATTCTCTTGCATACAGCGCACACTTCCTCCCCCCCCCAAAATCAGACCCCCCTAAAACTGGGGTGAATATATTACACAGGAAGCAGATTTTTTGCAGCCTGCTGTGATCCTTGCTCTGCAGCGCAGCAACTCTAGTATTAGCTTCAAGGCAGTTGAAGGAGTCAATGGGCTATTAATGGGCCATTCAGTTAATGGCCCATTGTTCTTCACTTCACAGGTGTTAAAGATCATCTCTCCTTCTTAATGGCCTCGAATTCCCCCAAGAAAAGTTAGCTTCCTTAGTGGAATTTTGCTGCTCCAGCTTCTGGTCTCTTCTATTTCACAGCTCTTTTCAAGACCCATGGAGACCAATCTTCAGCAGTAGAAAGGGTTTTAGTTAAGCAGGGAAATATCAGCTGAAGATGAGGCTCTCTTGGCTCCCTGCAGCTATAACTTCAGGGGGAGGGGGGCACAAAACGTCTTTATTTATTTATTTTAAACATTTATGAAGACAGTATTATATTTGGGAGGGTGTTATGTGTGAAAAAATATGGTATTCTCATTCAAGAGCAAACTGGCCCTCCACTGCCCGAGCGTAGTCCTCAGAAGCATAAGGGTACCTATAATACGTGGTATCTTCTGTGCATTCCTTGCACCTGTGGAATAGTCAAAGATAACCCAACTGCGCATAGGCACCTCCTAAGGTCTTATTTTAAACAGGTCTAAAAATATACTATTCAAATTACGGCAATAACCTTCAAAATATGAACTGATTAAACAAATGCCATTCTTGTGCATCACAACCAACCAGTCTACTGCTGCTCAAATCAGGCACTCTCAAAGCTGGAGGTGCGACGCCCACAGAAACACAATCCTGGCATTGCAGCTTGCACTGCAAGGGTGGTCGCACGCAAAGATTGGGAACGGCTTACCAGGAACCTACCCAAACTGTGGCAGGGTGAAAACCAACCAGCTCTGGCAGTCTTCACAGCTGCTGTCTGGATCTGCACGACAGTGGCAAACCCAATAAATTCATTTCAATCTGCTTCTTCAGCAAACTGAGACACTGGAGTAGATCTGGAATCCGACTACTCATTAAAAAAAGATGTCCAATGTCGAGAAGAATGGGCAGTGGAAAGAAACTCTTTGGCAACCACCAGAAGCCTAAAGAGACAAATGTACAACACCTACATCTGTGTGGCCAGAAGCATGGAAGGAGGAATAAGTAGAAACAATCATACTCCTCTTCCCTCACCAACAGCAGGAAGCTCCTGGGGAGGAGGAGTGGGGAAAAATACATGCTTCTTACTTTCTTTCTCAAAGTAAAAACCTGCGAGGTGGGGTAACACTGTAAAGCAGCCACAGCACTATCAAAGCAGAGTGCAAGAACAACACCTAAACAGAAACCACAAAGGACAACCCTCTTCAGCAACCTGCGAGCAAGGTCACATTAACCACCCAACTAGGGATTGTCCCTGGAGTGCTGCCTCTCCATCTCTGTATCAATCTGTGGCCAGGCAGCGTAAACGTCAGCCCTGTGATCAACTCCTAAGCTTATGATGCAAATAGAGAGGATATGAATAACTTATTTTAAAACTCAACATGTTCAAGCCTCAATTTAGCATAATCTGTTATAATAGTTAAAAATGAAAATAGTTTGAGAAATACTTCTTGCTAAAAAGTTTTAAAGGAAGTCAAACTACGCAGAGCCTGTGGAAGTCAATGGAACTTGCTTTTGCTTAAGCAGCTTCTGGCGATACGTTCTCTGCATCGGCAGAAAAGACTGTTTTCTTCATTTCAGTTTACTAAACCGTACTAGTTGAAAAACAAATTCACTCAAAGGTGAGAAAGCAAGAAATTTAGCTTTCCTCGTCCACTCTATGAAGATAAAATAGCAGAGAGAGGATGAGATCTGCTACTTCTAGAGTCTGAAAGGGTCGATGTCTAGAAATAACCAGTTCAATTCACCAACTCCTCGTATTTCCTTTAAGGTACAAGGCATTAATGCAAGACCTAGAAGCTGAATCCAGGCCAGAAAGCCATGTCATATGACCTGCAGGGCTCCTGGAGAGGCCAGGCCCACCACTGCAACCTAGGCTCCATTGGGGATGCGTGTCAGCAGCAGCAGGAGAGCAACAGCCATGTCAACCCCTTTGGGGCCACTTCTGCATCTGGATCCAGCCCGCAGAAGGCCCTGCAGGCTGGGTCTGGCCCAGGGAGCCGGGCGAGTTTAGCACCCCTAGTTTAAGGGAAAACATAAATCTTGCTATTAGTTTATGAACTATGATATATCACCACCTATTATTTGACTAAATACAATATTTTTTTAATTATTTAAATGCACTTATTAATTTTTTTATTTCCATGTGCATGTAGCTCAACATGAACATAAAAATCTAGTAAATAAGAGAGAGGCCATTCCCCATCATTTAACAAAAATGGGAGCATCTAAGCAAACTTATGATGAGTTATATAGAGGTACTGTAGATCTGTACAGCTAACTCCTGGCTAATAAAAAGAAAAGCCAAACTAGGCCAATGAGACAAACTCTAAGAAAAAAAAATAAGTAAATAAAAAGCACCAATTTAAGATTAAAATAGCTTACTTGACATCATAATAATAAAGCCTTCCTGCTAGTTGATTAAAAGTAATCAGGAAAGAGGTGGAGGGGATACGGGACGAGATTAAAAATCAGAGATCTGGCAGTACAATATAAATCACAGAGGGCAGAGAAATGGAGCAGATGGACCTCAAAAACAACTCTGAAAAAGACGTCCATCATCTATTACAGAACTGAGGAAGATCGTGAGTCAAGAAAGGGAAGAAATGGGGCTGGCTAAAAGGAGCATTTATCCAGAATTTGACAACGCCAATTAAGTTTGTCAACAGCTATATACAAAGTACCTTCCACACTGTTCAACCACTATACGTGACAATTATTCAACTAATGCCAGTAAACTAGTCAAATCTTGTCAAAGAACAAAGGTACTGAATGAGAATTTAAAAATGCACAATTGTTTTATTCCTTAACACTGCAGGAGGGACAAAGCCTGGAACAAGAGGCTTTAGTGACAGTTATTATTTCCCAAGTCAACCTGAACCTTAAGCCTAGTAGAAGTAGGATAAAGTTTAAAGACACGAGTGGAGCAGGTCAAAGGAACACCATTCAGTACCTTACAGTCTTAGATTTACTCCAAGTTTTACCATATCCCCACCCCTTCCCTTTTCATAAATCTAAAGCTAACTTTTCAGAAAAAAAACTATGAAATGCATTAAGACAGTGTTTCTCAACCTGGTGGGATGTGTCCCACTGGTGGGATGCGAAGGCCGTGTAGGTGGGACGCAGGGAAGCACTTCCAGGTTTGCTCTTCCGCCAGCCACTGGGCGCCCCCCACCCCACATCGTTTATCATGGTGGGACTATATGTACTATTTTTATATTTATGAACAACCTCAATGGAATAGTGGAAGTGCATCAATTAAAAAAAAGAAATCATGAAGCAAAACATCAGACTGACTCCTGAAAAATCTCATAAACTATTTTAAAAGTACTTAACCTGACACCATCCAATTATTTTACTCAAAGTTAATGGACTCAGTGTTACAGGGAAGCAGCAAATAAATGCACTGACTGTATCTCGTGCAAAAGGTGGGGCTAGCCACAAATGGAATTTGAGTTTCAGCTTGAACAGTTTTGCTACGTGCCTCCTAGACGAGCATTACACAAGTACTATTACATGTCAAGAGGAAGAAAAATGAAACCAACTAAATTAACTGACACAGTTTTTGCACCAGAGTTTAGAGGCTGAGGCAATTTTCAAATTATTCTTTTTCAGGGGCTGGGAGCAGAGGAGTTATTATGGTTTAAATAGTTTGGCAGGGAACAGGAAAGATTACAGAGTTAGCAACATTGATGTCAAAGTCCTGTCTGTATCCATTCTGCTGCAAGATAAGTCTATAAAAACAAAGGGAAAGGCCCCTCCTCTACCCTTGGAAACTGTCCCTTCTTCCCAAGAGTAAGTTTTAGCACAGGGACTCGGTAGCTTCAGGCCCTGGGGACAGATCCAGTTGCTTTGACACCAAATCAACCCAAATCTTTACCCAGGACTATCAGGGTTAATTTGGAGCCTGCCCCTGAATGTCTCCCTCATCATTTACCCATAGCCGAACCTCGGAGGGTCTGCTAGACCCTCTCATTCCTCCCCCAGAGAGACAACATACAGCTTTGCAGCAGACTCCGAACTTACCCACCAACAACCAGATATGCAGAGGCCTCCATGGAGACTATGAAATCCTTCTGCCTTTAGAAGCCCTCAGGTCACAGGAGAACCAGCAAACTGCCTTCACCCTCTGAAATCACAAGTGGCCTCTACACTGACTTTTCAGAATTATAAATTCTTTCCTAAGTATGTCCGACTACCTGCTACTCCCTCCAACCTCCAACACCACCCCACTTAAAGCACCCAGCGTAATATTCTCTGTGGCTTCCCCAATCTGTGGGGGAATCTGTGATATTCTCTGTGGTTTTCCCCCCTCCACATTCATTAAACAACCACCCCCCCCCCCCAAAAAAAAACCTGCCCAGAGAAATTATTTGAAATATTAATCATGCTGCCAAAGGTATCTGAAACGAACACAA